GGCAGGTTTCTTTTGTAGAATTCAACCGTCAGTGGCGCGCTAGCTGGTCTTGTCCCGTCCAGGCACGTAGTGTTGTCGGCGTTGAATGATCACGGGCGATGTTATGCTGCAACATTCAATGTGCTGCATGTTGCAGCATAACCTCAAAGATACTAGTCTCTCGTTTAAAGGCACAAGAAAACTAATTTTAAAGCTAATTAAACTATCTTTCGATGTGCACCTGGTGGATGCATGAGGAGCCCATTTGGGGGGTAATCTAGCAAAGTTGGGGAACTTGCTACGTAGTCACGACGTAGCAAGTTCCATCGCAGCAGCGCCGCTCTTTGGAATTCAACGTTTTCCTTCATAGCTTTCCTCAACTCGCAAATCGCGAATTGTACCAAACCCTCGTTCGTGTACCCGGACACAGCCATTCTCCCCCTAGAAGATTAGCCTGTTGCTCAAAATTTGGACAAAGCTTGTTTTTCCCACCCCGTTCACCCGTCAGCTGACTGCTGTGGAAGCCACGTGCTCCTTGGGCCAGCCACACGCTCGTCACCCCACGGGTACTTCGAACGGCTCGCTTGGAACGGGTTGACGCTATTGACACCCAGTGTTGCAACCTCCGCGGTCGTTTCTTCCACGAATTTTATAAAAAAAGATTCCCTATGGTAAGTTACAGGTCAAAAAGGTAGCGGCAAATGCCCCTAAAAGGGATTCATATATCCCTCCGCCACCTCCTCATCCAATAGCGTCCCATCGTTTCCGTGAGTCGCGGCCAACACGGGAGGAGGGTCTTGCCTTCCTGTAAATATTTGCATTATCTGTCGACGTTGACTTAGCGTTGAGGAAACCACGAGAGTGAGATTAGAGTTTTCCCCCTCCGATTCCAGTGAAGTCTTCTTTCGACTGCGGAGAGATTTGAAACGGGTGCATCACGCTTGTGGGAGGAGCTTCTCCTATATTCTTGGACTTATAACCGACAGATCTCCCTAGATTTTCTGAAAATGTATAAATTTGCATCGATATTGAAATGATCGTTATGGACTAGCTTAACCATAGATTCCTGTAGCTGGGTGGCCATTTAAAGGTTAAATTCGCGTCGTTGAAACCTTTTTACATAATTACACTTTATCACTTTGGCCTTGTGGGGCCCCACAAAATCGCCTTTACCACTTATCTCTGGCCTCGACAATACACAGAGAAGCCTTTTTCCCGCTGCAATCGGCAGGAACGATGAGGAAATAGTAAAGGAAGGTGTCTCTAAAGCCCTCTGAAACCCATTAAAAAAGCAATCCCTAGGTTTGGACACATTCCCCTTTGCCCCTAAACGATAAAGAAAATCCCTAAATCTAGAGAAAAATCCCTAGGGCTGGCAGCACTGTTGACAACGCCACCAACGGCAAAGTTGATAACCACGTCAGCCTTGCTGTGTCACAAATGCGGGAAATCTTTTTTTCTTTTTTTGTTTGCGCCGTATATTAAATGACGCATCGCGCCCTCCGTTCGCTTATCTTCGAGCGCTTGCTCGAGTGCACCGTTTGGAACGAAAAAAATAGCCAATCATTCAAAATAAAAACGGGCGATTTTCATTAACGGTTATTATCCGTCGTGCTTGACTCATTTCCGAACGAAATTTGAATATTTCAATTTTTGTTTCCGTACTCCTTTAAGAACAACTAAAGGCCTGTTCACACATACAGCGGAGCGCTAAGTTAGCGCTACGTGAGCGCTCCAAGGAGCGCTCATGTGGCGCTTCAAGCGTAACTTCGTTCTAATATAGTGGGTGGTTAGCGCTCCAGTAGCGCCTTGTTAGCGCTCCAGTAGCGCCTTGTTACCGCTCCAGTAGCGCCTTGTTAGCGCTTCAGTAGCGCCGCGTTAGCGCGACATTGGGGAATTGTAGTAGACCGTTTCGGCATCCCGCTAAGCACCAGGATAGCGCTCCGTAATCCGCCGCAAGACCTTGAACTATGCAGAGAAGGCTGGCGGCGCGCATGCGCAGCTGCGGCGTTTTCTTCGGGGATACCGTAGCAGAGGAGAAAAACGGTCTACTACAATTCCCTAGTAGCGCTTCTTGTACCGCGGTGCTGCGGATTAGCAGGTGCACTGCGGTTTCGGTTCCTGTGGTTGGGTGTGCATCAGCAGCACCATGGCGAATATGTCGGATGCTGAAATAGAAATGCGACAAATGCTCTTACATACGCGATTAGTGCTTATCTGTGTGGCCGGCTTAACTCCCAGAAGAGCCTTCTGGGTGCGCGAAATCTTTCGCCACCGAGATACCGACGGGTACTCGGCGAACCTTGTTCCTAGGCTGAGGGACCGAGACACAGAGCTCTTTCGAAGGCGATTATTTTTACCTCCGTGTCCTTGAAACCAGCGTCACACATATCGAATGAAAGCTATGAGTTCGTACCCAATCAATTAGTCGCTCAGAGTCCATGACTCTGGGTCGCCTGCCCGACCAGCCCGACCCTCTGCTTACAGGGCGGCTCTTCTTCCTCTTCTTTCAATGCCTAAGGAAAAACAACAACCGAGGAATCGCCGTGCACGCGCTATTCCGCAGCAGCAAGCACGGCACAGCTAACACAGCGCTACATCACGCGCCAGGAAGCGCCACATGAGCGCTCCTTGGAGCGCTCACGTAGCGATAACTTAGCGCTCCGCTGAATGTGTCTCCCGTAGAGAAGCATGGGGAAACCGGGCCCGCGACTGGCTGACCCTATATCCTCTCATCGAAGTTGGCACCGCTTGCAATCAAGGTGAAGAAAGGACTTTATCCGGCAGCTGCGACATGCGCGTTGTACACATCCATATACAGGGTGTTTCATTTTAAGCTTCATATATTTATTTAAAAAGAAATCCATGAAAGCTTCACTGATGCAGTTTGTGCAGCTGAGGTAGACGTCCAGGAAGACATGTATAGGACGCTAATCCTAACAATCAGTCGGGTAATTATCTCACATGTGTCAATTAACGTTTTCATTGTTGAAAAATAACATACGGCTTTTATAGAAACTTGCTGAGCGTCATCGAAAACCAGTAAATCAGTCAATATCATCAAACCTTGAAGCACGGTGGAGAGCTAAAGTTACCACCCATGCAGCGGGGAAAAGGCTACCTGTGCGCTAACGCGACCGCGCTGTTTTTCCGTCTCTTCTCATCCGCGTTCTCTCCCCAGCCTTGTGCGTGTTGCACGCGGGACAACTTTGGGGCAGAACTTGCTTCTCACACGCTCAGTATTTCCCGAAATGACTGATTTAGTTGTTTTCCTGGAAGCTCAGCAAGTTTTTAATTAGAATCATATGGCTATTTTCAGTGATTCAATATTTAATGAACAAGGTTTAGTCAATTATTCGGCTTAGTATGACGATTAGCCCCCTATATTTGTCGCCCTGGCCGTATATTTCGCCCGCACAAACCACATTAGTGTAGCTTTCACGGCTTTTCTAATATACATCATAAGTTTAAAAAGAGAGGCTTTGTGTGTCTTAAGGCCTCACCACACTAGCGGCAACGGCGCCGCCGGTCGCCGTCCCAATGCGAGGATGGCCAGATTGGCCTCAGTTTTGCAGACGTTATAGTCACGTGACAGCGCACCCTCTCGCGTTCTCAAGGTCACCCTCCGCAGGATTTCTTTCTCTTTCATCGCCTGCTCTTCGTTAGATTCTTCCGTTTCGGCTCACATCTTTCGCATATACACGTTTGCAAGTCCGGTCTCAGGGCGCCGCCATCTTCCTCAGTGGGGTGCGCTCTTGGGCGCGGCCATAATCTGATTACGACGCCTTAGCAAGGCTTCGTAATCGGGTTATGGCTCGACCAAGCGCACCCCAGCCAAACAAGATGGCAGCGCCCTGAAGCCGGACTTGCAAACGTGTATATCAGCATCGAAACTGCACTCGCTGCCTACATGGTAGGTGTCCATGTTGGCCTGGATCATCCTGGCCTACTCGTTGATCTTGCGACGTCGCCGCTCTGAAGGGAAGGAGGCGCAGGTTTTGGATTCGGCCGAGTTGGTGCTGCCGAGGGGCAGGTCAGTGCTTTGCAGTCCCGGCTACATGCCAGAGATGAAGTCTACTTTTGAGAGGGTCACGAAATTAACACGACATCCGTCACAACAGATGTGACATGCGACAAGTGCCACGAAGAAACTCCCCCGTAATTCTGAATTCTTCTCCTGTAGTTTCCCAGCAGTTGTCCTTAGCGTCCTTATCTAGGTACTCTGGTTTCGTCTTGCCATATAAAAAGGGAAACAGTCGCTCAGTTTCGAGGAACCGCTCCGTTGGGAAAGGCATTGGGGGAAAACCAGACGAAACGAAACAACGGTACGCTCCTTTGCAACGTGAAAGGCGCGCGGAGAAGCGGCTCGCGCGTTGCCATGGGATTGCAACGTCACTTTCTACGGCACCTCCGATTGGGTCTTCTCTTCTGCGGCGAGAAACGACGAGCCCTCAACCGCGCACGGGCAGGTTTCCATGACGTCGCCGAGCGGCAAGCCGCTGAGGGCGAAAACTGGTTTCGGCCGCCGCCGCTCGGGCCTTAGCTGAACGAACTAAGGAATGAGCAGTCCAAAGGCGACGTCGGGACTCCTCTGTGGGGTGATTCCTAGGGATGTCGCAAACTTTTCTCGAAGCTCTGGTTTGACGAAGTTCTTAACAGTTTTGCTCGACTTCAGTTCAACACAAAAATCTCAGAAGTTGTGAAAAATATAGTTCCAGTAATGGTTTCTTATAATTTTTAGTATGTTATGACCAATGTATTTCTCAATATTAAAGCCAACATGTAACATCTAATGATGCAGTGAGCTCTTAATGAATAGAAACAATGCGTACCCGGTAAATATTGCACCCTTCCTCCACCAGGCGCCATCGGCTCGTTTTCACTTTCCGTACTAGCGCGTAACAGTCGAGCTTCGGTCGAACTTGGGCTTAAAAAGTTCGAAAAGAGTCGAACTTGGTCGATCTCTAGCCTCGACAGTTTCGCGACGTCCCCAGTCAGAGCAATGTCTGTCCGTGGTGCAGACACCCTGCGTCTGATCATGGACCGGATGAGCCACAAGCGGCCCAAGCACAGTGTCGTGGACAAGCTGATCGAGCTGCAGCTTGTGCCGAACCGCAAGGCACTCCGCAAGAAGACGTCCGGAAGGAGAGGCACTGCAACCTCGTCTCGCAAGGGAACGGGAGGTCCGCGCCTGATGGGACTGGACTCCGAGCTGGACACCACGGAGTCGTCGTCGGACGACGACGCCGGCCGCGGTGAGTGACCCTTAGCGCGAACCCTCCGGTGTCGGGACTACGCGAAAGGACGAGTAGCGTGCCGGAGGCGTTTATAACTGGAGACGCGCGTCAGGCTGCACAATGCCCTGTATCAGCGGTCACCTTTTCTGCACGCGCGCGCACACTCGAAGAATGAGTAATAAAGCAGGCGAGCTGCTCAAAGGGAGGCATACTAAAACCCGACACTTATGACACGTCTCAAATGGCGTGTCAAACATGTTCCAAACTTTTTTCTTTTTTTGGGGGGGGAAGGGGGTTCTTTGTTTACACAAACTCCTCTCATCCTCTCTCGGTGCGCTCCCTGCTTCTCGGTTCACAGGTGCCGTCACACCTCACCTCGCATATCTCGAACTAACCTCCTCGCTACCTATGCCCATCCTCCCATGGAGGGAGGGGCACAGTGTCCTTGTCTAAATTTGCGTACTCATTCACGGGGATGCTTTGGAGTCTTTCCGTTCATTCTGTTGCTGTTGAGGGGTGTCCAAACAGGACACTACAAAACGCACGATTTGTCGGAGTCGTGCGTTTTGTAGTGTCCTGTTTGGACACCCCCTTAGCCGCCGTTCGCTTCCTAAAACTCGCACTGTCGCGCAGTTGGCGCTTCAAAGAATGACGTTACTTGTAAGTAGCACAAAGTGCACCGCTTATTGAGGAACTTTATGTCCGAGAGGCACACTCCGCGACCTGCTGAAAGTCGATGAAGTATATATAGGCACTTTCTATAAACCACCGCTTGACGCTCAGCTGGAACAGGGGTGCGCTGAGGACCATCTTCGAGCTTAGCTGGGAGAAACAGGAACAACGCGGAAATTCGGCCCTTGTATGGAACAAAGCGTGACAGAGTTTGAGGAAGGTTAACAACAGGTTGAGGGCCGCGGTCTGCATGGACGCCGGCGCCATCGGCCAATTTCAAGTCCCTGGTCAGCTGGAACGCTGTCTCGGCCTTGGCCCATGCCATGGCTGCCACCAGCGACCGGACACAACCTTGTCGGTTGAATCATACTATTTGTTAGCCGCCATGATTGTTGTCGGGATGAGGAGGGACTAATTGGGACTAGACGTCATCGAGTTACATTCCTCCGAGCCGGGGTGGTGACAGTTATAGGTGAACTCAACCTCGTCATGAGCTTGATACAATCACAAGCGCTGCCTCCACTTCGGCGGATCTCACTGACCGAGCTGCTGCCTCTGCCGGCGCTCGGTTTGGACGAAGCCCTGTGGAGCTGACGGTGTTCCCAATGAGCTGGGACCTTGCACGGGGCGTAACACCTCCTGGTCCGTACACAAGGAGCGTGTGTCCTCCGTGCACAGCTCAATCGCGATGTGGTCCTGGGGGTGTTTGGCGGGTGCGTAACCGCGGTCTTGTGACACTGGCGACTAGTGGTTCCAGCTGAACCGGGGAGCAAACCCGACGAAAACGCGGGGCTGCATGAATGTGTGATGTACCACGTGTTCTCCTCGTAGGGTTGGGTGCGTCGTCGTGGTGCTAGTTCCTAATGAACGTTGCTAAAGTTGAAGCTTGGGCTATAGACCGACCCGCTGTTTCCAAACAAGCCCGCGTTTGCCCACACCAGGTGTGGGCACTGCGCGTGCGCTGAAACCGAATTCATGGGGAGTGACGCGTCAGCTCATGCGCAGTGCCGTCGACAGCGCCATCGCAGCTGCGAGACGTCAGGGCCGCGTGCCACGCGGCCCTAACGTTGGTATGACGTATTTGAGAATTAAAACGATGCAAAGGACGAGAAACCAGTTGAAGAAAGACACATATGCAGTGCTGACTCACAGTCCGCTCTGTGTCTTTCTTCATCTGGTCCCTCGTCCTTTGCGCTGTTTGAATTCTCAAACTATTTCCTAACCTTACCTCCGAAGGGTAGGCTTGCCGGTGATCTTAGCCTCGCCGGGAGGAAGGCTGGCGTGGCCGTGCCCATATGTCGGCCTGGTGGCGTCGCTTCAGGTGCGCCGTCCAATGAGACGCCCGGACAAGAAGGCACCACGACCTCGGGTATGTCTCGCAAGGGCCCGGGAGGTCAGCGCCTGGTGGGACTCGACTCCGAGCTGGACACCACGAACTCGTCGTCGGACGGCGACGCCGGCCGCGGTGAGTGACCCCTCACCAGAACCCTTCGGTACCAGGGCTGCGTGTATGCATGTTCACGCTTTATAGCAAACCATAAAGTACTCGTTACTGTCTACCGCCTTTAAAAGCGCGCAAGATGTTGATATAGTGATATATTCCGTGCGGTTCTAGCATACACACTTAAAATTTTAACACCCTTTTTGGTGTAAATGGCTTGTCCTATGGGGAGCACCCTTATTCGTGTAACAGAACACCCTAGGAAAGGGGTGTAATTCTTAGCACCTTAAGAAAGGGGTGTGATTTTCGGACACCCTAAAAGAGGGGTGTGATACTCTCACACCCTAGAATAAAGGCGTGATTTTTCTAACACCCTTAGTCATGGGTGTGCTCTCTAACACCCTGAAAAGGGGTGTGATTAATGTCTAAAACCCTAAAAGGGGTGTTACTTTCTACCCCCCCTCCCTCCTCCCCCCCCCCCCCCCCGGTAATGTCCACCTCCCTCCTCCCCCCTCCCCCCCCCCCCCCCCGGTAATGTCGCAAGGAGGGGAGAACCCTGCTTGCGACATTTATTCTTTCTAGCACTGGTGACGTAAGCAAAACTCGACAGGCTTGGAAAGACGGAACGACCGGAAGTTACGTGGGACGCAAGCGGCAGTTCATGTTTTTAAGCATGCTTGCAAAGTACTTACAAATAAGAGAGCGATCTCATGTAATCCGTGATAGATGTATAATCCGATTCGGGCAGCACAGACCAATTCGCAAACACAATGCCGGGGATGAAGGCGGTCGCTCACATTCAACGGAAGCCTCGCGGTCACCGATGAGCAGCTCTCAGTCGTGATAGGTGCACAATCCGATTCGGGCAGCACGAAACACCGCAAACACAATGTCGAGGATGAAGGCGGTCGATCACATTCAACGGAAGTCTCGCGTCCGCCGATGAGCAGCTCTTTGTCGAAACTCGTTCAACAAACACAGCACAATAATTCCATAGACCCCGACCAAATAAATAGCCAATAGATGAAAAAGTTTGCATAGATGTATTCTGGCCGTTCACGACGAAAAACCACGGTCGCGAAATGGAACTCGTCAGGACCTGCTTGCACGGAAAAGAAAACACTGACGGACGCTTTTTGGAAACCGGATTTACGTGGTCCTTACAACTCACCATAAACTGGCAAACGGCGAAGGCTATGACTCCAGTAAGCCATCAGCGCGTCAGAGCGAGTCGAGTGACATATGTTCGTCCAAGCGTCCTTGTCCTACGGAGAGCGGTCACGTGTTTCGCTCCACACCTCTGATTCGCTAGAAGCGGCCTTCGCACTCGCTCACAGCCACACGGACACAAAAGAAAGTGGGGAGGCTTATCAGAAGAAGAGGTCAAAGGGGGTGGACAAAGTTGCTAATCTCCCTCTGTTGCCTCCTGGGCTGCACAGGGAGGGTCGCCTTGTATGTGGGACCTTGAAGTTGCTGTTGTTCGAGTGGCGGTTCCCTTTCGAAAAGTGTGGAGCCGGGGATTGGCTTATGCTTTCTGGGTAGAACTCGTTGATCGTCGTCTTGTTTTTGTTTATGCGTTTGAATTCCTTCTTTCTCTTTCCTTTTTTTCTTTATGTGTTTGGAAGTGTATTTATTGGTTCAGTCAGGTGAGTTTGTGCTACCCCAAAAAAAAGGCGCCACTGTTTGTTCCAAGCTTCAGCGCAGTTAAAAAGAAAATGAATAAAAAGATTAAGCAAAGCGGAATTTGCTCGCTTTTTGCCCGGGAAAGACTTCTCGGGCTAAAAGCAAGCAGATTTCGTTTTGGCTAATCTTTTTTATTTTATTTTTAACGTCGTATTTTAGGCGGCAAAGAAATAGAAATACCTCTCCGGCATAGCCGATTCACGCAGGATACTCTCAACACTCAAGTAAAAACGGCGTCGCGTACTTTATGTCAGGATATCGTTGGCGCGACTTCTCCCATTCGTTAGATATTGGCTAAACCAAAATGGTGTGCGCACAATCTTTTCGAATAGATCCAGTATCGGCGACATACGGTGTGTTGCCTGGGCTGTATATTTACACGTCTTCGGTCACCTTTTGCGAGGGGAGGCGATTTTTTAAATCGAAGTTGAACTGATAAAACTGATGCACGCGCGACACGTAATTTTCGGCTCCTCTCGGACGAAGAGTTCGATCGGAGTTGCAAAAAACATTCTCTAGCACTTCCTAATCATACGCGCCTTTGTGTGGCGATTAATTATGTTCGATGTTGGTACCGCCGTACATCAGCAACCGTTTCATCAAAGCAATAAACATGAACGGTTATAAAATCATGGGTGTAATCGACAGTATCAACATTACGCCCGTCTCACACCGTGTGGATGAAAAGTGTGTGGACGTCCGTTAAAAACCACTTGACCGGGGACGGAAATATAGAGCACTGCTCATCGTCATTTGCGCCGGGTTGTCGGGCAAAAACCGGTAGGAATAAATGGCCTCTCCTCTGGCGTGGAGAAAAACGTCGTCGATGACAATGATATTGACCGAACAGAGCGGAAAGCGGATTTGTGTAAGATTAATGTGACGCGCATTCTTGCACGTTCTCGTTGATCTCCTGAAGTTTTGACGGGACGCGGACCGATGCATCGCTACATAATTCCAAGCAATTTGAGCTACGTCCTGGTATTGCACAACGTATAAAATCCATTGCTTAAAGCACATATTAGATAAAAATTTGAGCTTGCTAATGCAGGCGACATTTTTTTTCCGACTCATTTCATAGCTAGCTCCTCGATTTGGGGCACATGCTGCTATACCGCGATGACGATCAATCGATGTCACGATGTCCTTACCGGCTCCTCTCGTAGATAAGGGTTTCTTCGACGTGATTAACTCCGACTCCTTGAAACCACACAAGTCCATCACACCCTTTCTACACGTTATGAACGGGGGGTGTTGCGACGAGTGCCTACACCCTTGTAACACGATTTCCTGAGCATATTTCAAATTGTGGGTGTGATAGGGGTGCACGAGGGGTGTATGTAGGGTGTAAGCCTTCTTGTACACCCCTGTTACACCCACCAATACTTAAAATTGTGTAAAAAGGGTGTAGGAAGGGTGTTGGTTAAAAAAAACACCCTTTTAACACGATTTTGGGTGTTAAAATATTTACTGTGTAGCCAGCAGGGTTCCGGGTGAAATAGTGAGCGAGATAAAACGGGCCTGGAGAAAGAAAGCGACACTGAGTACTCGATGGAGACTGCTCCATCGAGCGTGCTCGAGTCGCGTACTGCTATTCTGTAAGCGTTATTTTACTACCGTGTGACGCAGCCGGCTTTAATGTTCGAGCAGGGGCCGTTCCGTACTCCCAGCGCCACGTACTCTCCGAGAGAAATCACACTCTGTGATTCCTTTCTGAGATTCATTGCTCCTCCAGTTTGCAATCGCACTCCCACTGTGTCGTCTATTAGGCGGAAAGCAGACAACGCAACAGCGCTTGCCGATCTTAAAGCAAGCTGTGGCCACGATAGTATACGCTTGCATTAGCGCCAGCACTCGTGGGTGCATAAGTTGGATATCGATATTGCGTGTGTGTGACAGGGTAGAACTACACTCAATCTCAGAAACTGCAACGTGTGTTATCAAAGATGAGCGCATAACCCTTCCACATGATTCATTTTTGGTATCCTTCGCGCAATAAGAGTATCTGTGCCCTAACCGCTCTGTTTGGAATCCTTAAAATTCTTACGTGTTCTAATGCCCGAGAGCGACAAACATAAACAAAACGACAGCGACAAACGTCAAATACATGCAGCATGCTCGCGATGGTACCTTTTGCAGGCGTTTAGTCCGCTGCTCGTGAAGTAAGCACGATTGATTACAAGCCTGCCAAAGATACCCTCCGGTGCATGATGCTCGTGTTCGAGCATAGCCCCCTTTATTCCACGAAGCCTATCAAATATGGAAAGATTCTGCTTTGAGGTTTGCCGCTGTCGTTTGTTTCTGTTTTTCACTCGAGTGGGACTCAGGCATAAGGATGTTGTAGTAGATCGTTTCGACAACTTGAAGTACGATACCCGGTACCTTGCCGGCACCTAAGCGCGTGCGTCGTATCATTTTCGTAGTTCTCGCAACAACGTACTAAAACTTGGTAAGCAACAGTACTGCTCTGCGAGCGTCTCGTTTCTCCACGAACTAGCAAGCCATCATCGTTCAGGTCGGTAACCTCTTCGTCTTCATAATAAACCACTTTTCTCTCTCTCTCTCTCTCTCTCTCTTTTTTTTTTTTTGTAGTCTGATATTATTTTTACAGGAAACTGGCCCCCGTTCCTTCCTCTATGCCCGTGTACAAAATACATCGTGGCGGTCACCGAACCCAGAGCCCTTTATACAGATAGTTTGGCGTATGGGCGGATTCCTCTCGTGCGGACTTCGCGGTGGCACAATATGGAGGTTACTGTTTTTGGCCACTCTATTCTGCGTGCGCTGATTCGAATTCGGGGTTAGAGGTTGTTTTATGCGCACAGTGATGTGATTGCTGCGCCAATTGCGCCAAACTGCGCCAAGGGGCTAACTCTGCTACATCCTGCTACATTTCGCCAAAATATGGCTAATCTGCGCCAAGCCTGCGCCAAAAGGCCAATTTTGGTCGCCTTTCAAAAACGAAACTAAGCTGAGAACCGTAATTGAGCATGCGTGAGCTAGGTGGCCCAAGACGCCGTCCGACACAAAGTACCCTGCATCAATCGTCTATTCGGTCTTGCATGGTTTTTTCCGCCGTTCGCGTTTCGCGCTCTCGTCTTCTCGGGAATCTCGTCTCGCGTCTTTTTTTCTTTTTTTTCTTTTTTTTTAATTTTTTAGCGATAAACGCGGGCGTTTGCGAACGCTCCGACGTTAGTTAGTGTGCCGGGTTCCAGACATGCCGGCATGCTGCGAAACAATACCACGTTTTTGCGCGGCGAGAGTTACTTCGTGAGCTGAAGCGCTCGCGCGACCGCAGTCGCCGTGGTCGCGCGACGTCGTGTGTTGCCGTCCCCACGTCG